ACGAGGGGATCTTCGAGAAACATGGTGCTGTAAGGTTCGTGCCTCCTTTGAGGCCACCTATGAAGCCGCCATGGACCGCTTGAAGAAAGCGGAGTAATAAGTCGAGCCAACGACAATAAAAAAAGGCGCTTGTTGGGAGGCAACCCAATGGTGTACGATGCTACTTCTTCTCTTTGATAAGGTGAACTCCTTCCTTTTACCTCCTATTTTTGTTCTCTTATGTGAAAACGCTAAGTTTGGGGAGGTGTGTTAGTGTGAGAGGTTTTATGCTAGATTATTATATATTTCCTTGATTTTCTTGAGTATGAGTGTATTTGTATGTGGAATTTAGCGATGATGACATGAGAGTCTATTGGAATATTGTGCTAGTTATAATGACTTGCATTGATTATTTCTGGTTAAAATCTTGAGGTGTTATCATTTGAGGGACAAAGACATGATAGTTGAAATTTATGTGTTTTATTCGTAGTAAGTCGTCTTGGAATTGGAGTCAGCAGCAAGAGACCACGTGCTAGTCTCTTCTACTTCCCAAAGGCGTGGGTTAGGGTTCGTGCCACCGAAAACAGTGGAATTACCGATCCCTTGCTGCGTGCAGCTAAACAAACTCTACTGTGAAAACTCTAGCTCACATACATACATGTATGTTGGACACCAATTGCATCGAACCTGAGGCTTTTATAAAGCTAGGTTGGTCATGGAATAGATGAAATAAATCCAAAAATGGACGAATTGCCATAACGACTATATTGAGGAGTTTCTGAAACGAGAATTCTCCAGGGGTGTCCTAAAGTTCCTCCGCTGAACAGCCTAGTGTCAATGGGAGGTGGGGTGAACTCTGAACCCGCTAACTTATGTAGTATTCGGCTGCTTCTATCCCAAAAACCCGGCCTCAGTTCGGATTGCAGGCTGCAAAGGGTATTTCCAAAACTCTTAAGAGGTTAGCAGCTAACTCATAAGCTACTGGCAAATCCACGACTAAGCGTTGACCCGGCTGTCTCTTCGCTGGGGGCAGGGACCCACCCTGAAAGCTTTCCGAGATGTCACTTTATGACGATACTTATTTTCCAGATCCTCATTCAAATGAGAAAGATCGGTTCGCAATATTGGATCGATTTCGGAGCGGAACTGTTTATATTCTTGAAATTTGCTGATGATTATTCTGCTTGATGTCAATTGTGTGAGGTGACTTGACGTGGAAACTTGGGAGTTGAATGTCTCGAAAAAAAGAAAAAAAAGAAAGAAATTAAAAAATGGTGTGAATAATGAAGGTGGAGGAGAAAAATAATGGGTGTTGGAGAAAAAAAAAAAGATCGTGGGTCTGTGAGCTTTAGTGCATCACTAGCACGAATAGCTAAACACCATAGACTGTGACGGAGCTGCCGTTCCCAAAAAAAAGAGAGAAAAAGAAAAAAAAAGAAAAGAAAAAAAAATCGAGACTTTTGATCTCTGACTAGAAGCGAATAGGAACCAAACCGGTTGACAAAGAAAGGGGTGTCATTAGTTGCATGATTGGTATACTCGGTAAAGAGATTGATGAACTGTGGTGATTCACTGAATTGATATTTGATTGTTGGCGTTCTAAAGATGATTTCATTTTGAGTCCGGAATTATTGACTTGAGAAGTTGTAGCTATGCATTTATGTGAGATGTGTGAGGACCTGAGCGAATATTCCACGTACTTGTTTATATCCATCTATGTGGTTTTAGTTCTAAGTTGCTTGGGGACAAGCAAAGGTTTAAGTTTGGAGAGATTTGATAGGTCGAAAAATGTGCATAGTTTATATATTTAATTGTGTATTCTTATACACTTAATTAATTCGCACTTTTATATTTTTTGACCTTTTTATTATTTGGATGAATTTACTTGCTTTGATGTTTTATGTGTTATTTTCATTATTTTGGAGCAATTTATGTACCCGGCCCAATACCCGAGAATGAAGGGCACGTGTGGATTAATGTGGTTGGTTGTTTAGTGATTAAAGGCCCTAATCAATAGAAGCAAAGAGAAATTGGACAAAAAAAATTGTTTCAAACTATTTGAGGCCAATAGAGATTCAGTGGCCCAAATTGAATTTGATGTGTGTTATGGCATAGAGTGAAGGAGTAATTTTTTGCCAAGGAAGAGTACTACACGTTGAAAGGAATTAATTAGTTGGGAGATTTTATTATTTACGGGCGACACGCACAGATAAAAAAAAAAAGCCGCAGAGAAAGAAAGCAGTAAAAAAAAACACGGACTGGGAAGAAGGCTACACACGCAGAGGGAAGTCGCACCGCACACGAGGGAGATATTTTTATCTTCTCTCTTTTATCTTTTTATTTATTTTTATTAGTATGCTAGGCTAGGATTTTTATCCAGTTTAAGGGGATGTTTTAACCCTAACTTTGATTTGTCTATGGATTGAAGGATTTATTTTTATCGTTGGTTAATTGAGACGCCGTATTGATTTTTGTTGATGAGTTGATTCACGTTATCTATGTTTAATGTTTATGAATTATGGTGTTTGATTTAGTCTGGCCAACTGCGTTAAATATTCATAGTTTAATTGCTAGATTC